ATAATGCTGCCATTATATTCATTTGTATCCATGATCATAATAATTCCAATTCAATGCAAACTCAGACCATCAATCACAATGTATCCTTAAATATACCATTTTTTGCTCAATATAAAAGTATTTCTAAAGTGAATGGAAGAATGGGATGAGTTTTAGACCTTTTTGTTACCAACGCATTTATTTGCTAACATGATAATGCTAAACGTAACAGCTAATGGGAAATATTTATTTGCTCTCTGCTCTGTTTTACTTAATCTAGTGTTAGAGTTCTTCATTCTTATCTCTCTGAAGCCCCAGGACATAGCAATGGTTTACATGCCCCCCTGCAGCCTTTGCTAGGCCAAAAAAAGTTACTGGCTTGAAATGGGTTCTGAAGCATGGAAGACAGTTTGGTACCTTCAGCCCAATTGTTTTATGTTACTCCAAATACTCTTCCTGAGAGGGAACTATAATATAACATACATGTACCTGTGTTAGCCTGACATCCACTTTTAAAAAAAAAAATGTTATACATTGTAGAATAGCAGCAAAAAGCATTTTCAGGTATACAGATTGCCCTTATAACTTGGGAAAAATTTAGTTATTATGTTTAAAAACTATATTACTACGTATCTGATCTCATATTTGATGCTGAGTCTATATCCCTAGCCTGAAATTATGGTTTATGGGTTTAGCAGTTTTGGTGGATTTCAGTTTCTTTAAAACGGAAACTACCTATGAAATGTATCAAAAAAGTTGTGTTAGATTTTGAGTTAGTCTTCTATTCTTACTAACAGTACATTAGGAAAATTATCCTCTCTGTTTTAAAAGGATGAGACATGGTTTCACTATGATATTTTTCCATGGTTTCATAATGATTTACAGTTTGGTTTTTTTTTAATATGCATATGTGTAACTCTAGCTTTAGTTCAGTTGTATTCATATTAAGTTACTGAGTATGTGGTCTGGGATTCAGTCATCTAAGGAACTCCAGTGTTGTCAGAAGGAAACAGTCACTTCCCAAGATGATTCACACCTTTTTGAAAGAAGTGGTGTTTATCTTCCCACATGGGCTATCTGAGAGCTTAAAGCAGTAAGTTTTCAGTACCTAGAGAAGCAAACCCACACAAGGTGATCTTCTAGGCGAACCTGTCTTGGAAAATACTCTATTTGAGAAAAAGTGTCTCCCAAGGATGAGATAGATGTGTTGATGGGAAGACAAAGAACTCTGCCATGTTGTTTGGGGCATCCTGGTGCTCATCTCTCCATCTCTGGAAAGAGAAAGAAATCATGATAGCTATCTAGTACTGAAACTACTGTGCCTGTTTAAAAAAGTGTGAGTCCTTGCTAAAAAGCTACACTTTCTCGCTGTTCCCTGCACAGATTTGAACTTCACTTGCTCAGTGTTTGGATGTACCACAGGGGGAGTTGGCTACAATCTCTACATTATGATTATAAAAATGCTTTTGCATATTTAGGAAAATATGCTCTCCTGTTGTTTGAATGCAGTCTTAAATTGTGGGAACTCAAAATGTCTCTCAGACATTTTTAGAGGTTCCAGGCCTTGGTCAGAGGCATTCTAGACCCTGGCAGACAGCTGAAAAACAGCTGTGATTTTGAGTTTGAGCCATGGAATGAATTACCAACTTTGGAGGTGGAACAAGCAATCACAAAAGGTTAGATAGTATAGTATAAGTAGTTACAAAGTAGAGGGGAAATTTTTTTAGTATTGTACAGGGGGGTTTTTACACATGTACAGGGGGGTTTTTCACTTTGTACATGGGGGTCAGAAGTTCTAAGATGGAGGAAAGTGGGCTGATCCTGTTCTTCCTCCTTCTTCTTCCTTACCTCCATGTTCTTGGTGATGTTGGCACTCACAGATTGGTTTAGAGTAGAAAAACACTTGGCAATGTAGGTAGTAGGTATTGGGGAATAATTGCAAACATGTTATACATAATATATAATATAAAAGATAGCAGCAGCCCTGGGAGGGGGGAGAGAAGAAGAAGACACCAGACAGTCAGGGTGTCAGGGTGTGTGTGTGCCTCTACCCAGGCCACTGATCAAATAGCTGCAGTCCAAGAACATAATCTGTTAGATAACTAGCAATAAACTGCCTTGAGACCGAACAGCTAAGCCTGCGGAGTTTTTCTTTGGAAGCACGGGTTGGAGGAGGAATTTCACCACCACATGAGGCCCCAAAGCAAGGCCGGGGTTCTCACATTAAATGACTGCAGAATTTAATTCTTTTAGGTTCAGGAGGCTCTGATCTGTGTGACGTCCTAGAAGTCCTTCATATGTTCTTTATCCTGCCCCTGTATTTCAGAATCAGCTCTGCTAAAAAAAGGCACAATGCAAATCAGGAAAAAACAAGTCTTTCTAGCCTATTTAGAAGAAAAAAATACTAGTTTAGGAGACTAACACCAAAAAATAACCTACACTTGACCTTAACCTAAGTCTAGTACTTCAAAGTTAAGCACTCAGTTTTTAAGGATGCTTATTCTTCAAGAACGCTCCTGCCATACACCCTTTAATTATACCCAGACAACACAATCCTTAATTATATTTTATTTATAATATTAAATTGTGCTTACCAGGAATGCCTTCCTTACCAGACAGCCTGGGGGACGGGATAGACAAAGGACTAGGCAGTGAATGACATTTTCACAGTGACGTATTAGCAGGAAAAAAAACCCCAAAACTGGAAGAATTATCAGATGAATGCAGGAATAGGAGTGAAATAGCAGCTAAGGTAGCTGGATTTGCACAAAATAATGTAATACTGTCACTGGTTTACCACATGTTGACCTGCTGAATCAAGGGTCAAAGTCACTGCTTGGTGAGTTTGCAGACTGCTACTTTCTTCAAGTTTTTATTTCCAGACACTCATCTGCACCAGGTTCAGGGATCATTTTCATACCTCAGGTTCTGATTTGCTTAAAGACTTTCTGGTACCTTTTTAGGTCCTTTTTGGACCTAGCATTCTGGCTTGGTTAAAGTTTTTCCCTATAATGAAGTATGCAAAATTTTGTGTTGACACTTATGTTGAATACAGTTCTTAAGTGTGCTGAATGAAACAGAAAGCATTCTTTCGTGAAAATAATAATTCCACACCATGTGCAACAACTAATACATAGGGCCATGCTTGAAAAAGGAGGGTGAAAATGTCAGCCCTGTCTTGTGAATTAGAGCCCTGCCTTACAGGTAATACACAGGATAAAAAACTAAGATATCTGAATGAACTAGAAGTTTGATATTAATCAAGTTTGGCATGCCTGCCTTAGCAGCAATAAGCCTGAACTTTTAAAGTCACTCGTTAGGCTTTATTAACTATAAGAAGTGAAATATATTTTAAGGCATTATTCAAGGGACTGTCGAAATCAATTTCTTTTGTTTTGTTTACTAAGGAAGTTAGGTTTATAAGTGCCCTGTCAATTTTCCTTGTCTCTTCACTGAGCTGGCTGACATCATCCAAATTCAGCAGAGGATTCTCAAATGTATCACATTGCCAGAGTTTTTGTGCCAGTATCAAAACAAATTGAGGCGTGCTAGATCCAAGAAATTCCATAGTGTCGGAGCAACAAGTCAGCAGAAGATCAAGGTGCTGCAGGTCTTTGGTCTTCTGTTTTTATAAAGTTGCATTTTGTGCAGCTACTAGTTGATCTGTTAAGTACCATGCAAAAAAGCTTAGATTAGGGAGAGGCTCAGGAGTCTTCTGGATACCCAGTGGCACCAGCCAGGGCACCAAGGTATTCTCATGATGTATGCCCTGGTTGGTTTCCCACACTGGGGCAACCAGCCTGCTTATTGACACATTTCTTCTACTCATCCTGCTTATTGACACAATTTGAGACTTTGAGGCATCTTCTGAGAGATCTTCTTTCTCCAGCATGATCTCTTACAGAGGTCTCTCCAGGTTTCTTATTTGGGGAGTGAGTGGGTGGATACAGTGGTATTTTTCTTTCAGGTGAAAACACTCTTAAATTTATATAGATCTTACAGCTGCTTTAGTGTCTGCTTTGGCAATCTTTTATTTGGACATGAGCATTTTGGTTTACATGGGAACACCAGACCAAGTGTTCAATCTTTACAAACTGCAATTCTAGATTAACAATAACAATATTTATGATGCATTCACAATGAACCTAGAAGCCGTGCATCATTTGTGCAAAAAGGAGAAATGCCATTTGCCTGCATCTGCCTCGCCTCTGTAGTTGTCCAGAAAATGAGGGCTATATCCAGTCTTCAGAAATAGCTATCACTGGCCATCACCCAGGGCTTAAACTCATACTAACCTTGAAGTGGTCGAAGCTGCAAACAAATCTATATTGAACTGAAAATACTTTGAGCTATTAAGTTAGCTTACTTAAGTCAAATAATCAGGAATACTAATCCTCTTTAAAGCAGTGTATAAAGCAGTGTATAGTACTAGAAAGTGATCATTCTGAACCTGCCATTAATGGAGTTCATAAATAAAGTCCCCAAAAGACTGATAGCAGGAAGCATAAAATCACAAAAATCTTCTCCAAAACTGCAAGTGACAGATTTATGAAAAAGGACTGTGACAAAATCTTGGCGGGGAGGAATATGAATTTTTAAATCTAATTTTGGTTCTCTTTAGAGTGACCTGAGAACTAGAAGACAGTGAATCCTTTGGAAAAGAGGATTAATAAAAGTAACACCTTGGAGAGTCTCAGACTTAATCCACGTGCTATCAGAAAGGCTGCTCCATCACAGCTGCAGCCCATCAATGATACACACTCAACAGCTGAACAAAACTGCACACTACAAGCCCAAGATTGAGAAGTTCCACACCACCTTATTAATTTAGACACACCTGCAGATATAAATATATATATGCATTTTTATACGGAACGATACATGAGTATTACACAAAGCAGTTACAAAACAGATACAAAGCAGTACTGGCTTCTAAACTGACCGCTGTGTCTGCTATTCAAACCCCCGGGCACCGGCGAAGGAGCCCCTGGGATCGTGCGGCATTGGCCGCGGGAGGCGGAGGGGCCGCGGGGAGGGCGGCGCTGAGAGCCGGGGCTGCTCGGGAGGAAACGCTGCTGCTCCGGAGCTGGAGAAATCCCCCCGCGCGAGCCCAGAGGAGGGAAATCAGTCACCTGGCGGCGAAGGACAGTAAAACAGGGACGGAGAGGGAAATCTCTGCCTCTCTCTCCCTTCTCTTCTGCTAGAGATCCACCTCCTGTTTTCCTCTCAACTCTTCCAGCATAACCTTCAAAGAAGACCATACCGTACTGACTTTCTTTTATTATGTATCTGTGTGTGTGTATATACATTACTATTATTATTACTATAGACTATCTTTAGCTGCAAAACAATTTTTGAGCCTATGCAGGACTTGGGGGGTTTTTTTATCTTGCCAGCGAAATTGTTCATCGCTAATGTCTTGCGCTCACAGGGTGCTAAATTAGCTACTAGACTACTCTGGCAGCATGACGGAGAAAGGGTTTTATCATAGACTGTTCTCTTCAGTTTGAACACATTTGCTTGAAATTTGCTGCATGATGCTGTCCAGGGAAGAAGGATTTTTTTTTTTTTTTCCTCGGGATACAGCGATTCGCCGGTTTCTGAGCTTATTGCAGAAGAAAAAAAATAATCTTTAAACTGAGTGGATTTTTTTTTTTTTTTTTTTGCTGTCTCCTTTCATTTCCAGAGGACACGAATCTCTCTCACCAGGGAAGGATCACCTGTCGCTTTAATCCTTAAGGGAGTAATTTTTTTAAAAAAGTGAAATATTTTATTTATTTATTTATTTATTTATTTAAACCGGTGGAGGCGTGATCGCGGAGAATGAGACTGAGGGGAGCTGCCACGGTTTGGAGGACAAGGCTGAGTTTAGGCTGGAAACTGACAGACTAGATTTCCCCCCTCCTCCTCCTTTTTTATCCCCCCCCACCTCCTCTTTGTTTCTCTTCATTTTTTTGGCACAACTTCCGTAGTTTCCAGTCCGCTCCGTTCAGTTTCGCTCTATGGACAGATCAGCTAACCTGGACACGGAGGAGCTCAAGGTAGGCGACCCGCCGGGAGCCGCGGCCGTGGCTGGGGTTGGCTCCCGTCCTGCGCTGCCGGCCGCGGGCGGGGCCGCACGGGCGCTGCGCGGGGCTCCCGCAGCCGGGCGGGGCGCGGAGCCGGGCGGGGCGCGGAGCCGGGCGCAGCCGCCCCGCGGCGGGAGAAGCGCGGGAGGGCGGCTGCCCCGGCCGAGCGCGGCTTCCCTTCTGCCTGCGCGGCCCACAGCATCGTCATGGCAGTGTTAATAATCCTGGTGGTGATGGTGGTAGCGCTGATGCTACTGCCCGTGTGCTCTCGGCTTTGCGTGAGCACTGGGGGCAGCGCCGGGGACAGCGAGGAGGAAGCGGCAACTGACCCGCGGCTTTCCCGGCAGAAGTTGGCTCTGAAGCCATTCTGGCCTGGGCATCTCCTCTTCTTCCTCTTTCTCCTCCCCTTGCCGCCAGGAGCGACGGGGAAACCCTTCCCCACGCCTCCACCCCCCTTCTTGGCTCGCCCCCAGCGAGCCGTCCGGTTCCCGCGGGCGAGCGAAGCTGAGGCAGCGGCGGTGGGATGCCGAGCCGCTGGGCCGCGGCTCGGGGGCTGCTGGTGCAGTCAAACTTTGCATTAGGACGGTGCGAACTGGGAGCATTCTGCTCCCCCCGCGCCCCCCGGCCCAGCTGTGGCTCCCTCCCCGCTGAAGGAGCATGCCTGAGAGCGTTGAGCATGCTCCTTTGCGGAGACAGAGCCTTCGTACACCTGCTGCCAGCCCCCCCGGCCTGAGCGGAATTTGGCTCAGATCATCATCATCATCATCTCATCATCATAATAATGATAATACTATAAGTCTCTATAATCTATACGCGGTAAAGAGGGTGGCTGGCTGGGGAAGGCAGCAGAGAGGGAGCGGGCGCATGGGGCGCGCTCCGCGGGGCCGCGGAGCCGGAGTGCAGCGCCGGCCGTGCCGGAGGGGCGGGACACACACGCACCTCGCCGCGGTACCGCGCGGGTAGCGCTAGAGGAGCGATGAGAGAGGCGATGAGGGGAAGATAGCCTTCCTCGGCCGCCTCATGCACGGCCGTTCGCGGGATGCTCCCGCAGGGCGCCGGCTTCCCCGCGGCCGCGGAGAAGGGCTCGCCTCTGGCAAGGTAAACTGGCGAGCGCTGAAGTTAGGGGGGCTCCTTTCCTTTTCCTATAAAGCAGATAAGAAAGTACTGAATAAATATATTCACCGATCTCCCCCCCCCCCCCCCCACAAAGTCTTGCTCGCTACTCCTACTAATATTCCCAGGGAAAGGCATCCCAGGACTGTAGCGCTGTTTGAGTATTTGAGGTGACGGTAGCGCAGGAGAGGAAAGCCCATAAAACGATTTGCTTGAGAACCGCTGATCCTCACAGCGCTTCCAGGGCTTCCAGGGCTTCCCCGCCGCAATCGCTGCTTGCCTGCGCTGACGGGGAGTCCTCTTCCTGCTTGCCTCAGCATTCACAGGAGTCAGCTGGTGCGGGAAAGGCAAAACACGAGTATTCCGATTAAGGGGGCGAAAAGTTCTATTGTACCGGATTATTTTAAGGGGTCTTTAAAGAAAATATGTTTATGCTACAAGAGGGCAGCACTTCGCATGAATTGTCCGTAAAGCCTGAGGCACGTCCCGCTGTGAGCAGGACGTGCGTAGCCTGAAGAGCAGGGGGTCTCCCGTTATCCCGTAGTTATCTGCGCTGCAATTAGGACGTGTGTTGCAGCGTGTACAGGCTGAGCGACCTTGAGCAAGGAAGCAGCTGAGAAGCAAGCATCGGCACTCTTCCGCTCACAAGGATGAGGAGAGCTTCCAAAGGAGGCATTTCTGCAGACGCAGGGTCTGGGCAGCTCTCTGGGACCAGCCGCTTTGGCACGATGCACTTCCCGGCTTTCCCGGGTGATGTGCGGCCGCTGGGAGAGATGCCAGGCGCCGGCAGGACGGCGCCGGGGCGGGGGCGGCCCCGGCGGCCGGCAGGGGGAGGTGCGGGCCCGGCGCCGGGAGCGGCTCCCGCCGGCGCCGCGGGGCGCAGCGCTCCGCGCCTCCCTCCAGCCGGCTGGGCTTCCCTCTCTGAGCCAGCCGTCCAGCCGCTCTCCCCCCAGCAGGGATACAAGGTGCGGGGCAAAGCTCTTAGGGGTCTAGGAAGTTCCCAGCTGGGTGACCTGGCTGCTGTTGGGCGCAGTAAAGAGCGTCTCCCATACTGCTCCAAGTCGTGAAAGCTTTAATTGGTTTCTGGAGAGTTTCAGGGGAGATGAAGTGTTCCACTCCTTTTCTCATGACACAGCTCCTTGCCAGGTCAAAGACACAGTCAGGGCACACAGATAGGAGGCAGCCAGAGGTCCTGAGATGTCGAGGGAACTCTCTCCCACACCACACTGCGTGGAGGGCTCATGTCAAGAATGTCAAATACGGTAGCAGGTTGTCGCAGCAGAGCTTGCCAAGAATTTTGGAAACAGGCTGGACACTCTTCCTTGATACTGGATTTTCTCTGCTATGACAAAGATATGCCAATAAACATAAAAAATACTGACAACTTCCCTGCTAACAAAAAATAAATGTGTCACCTCTAAGGAAAATAGAAATAATAACACTGAAATCAGACACTATGTTATATATAAAGCTTCTATACACCTCAAATCAATCAAAATCTCTGTTATTTATCACACTGATTGGAATGAATTCTGAATTTTTTATGTTGATAATAGACATTTGAAAAGGTAATGTTGTGAAAAGCTCAACAAGTATCATGTATGCAACATCTGCTGATGAAGATAGGTGTGTTTTCCCTTTTAGTCCATGCATGTAATCCTGAAGAAATTAATCAGTATGGAAAACAGAGGCTGCTCTTCCAGAGGCTTTGAGCTGTTCTGTTTTTCCTTTGATCTGTCTCATCTCTCTCTGATGCATACAAGAACTTCCCTCTGACTTTTTAACTCACAAGCCTGTGGGGTTTTTGTTTTAAAGAAGTGGTACACAAACTAAATAATTCTGTCATAGTTGCATTGCAGTCTTGGGTTTAGTGTTGTGAAGGGCTTTCTGTTACCTAATGTATACGCAAGTCTTCACCTACATTTTGAACATACATTAAACTGTGTGGTTGTGAGTATGATGAATTTTATAGGACTCTGTAGTTTGTATATGTATTTAAAAGATGATGAATTAACTTATTTTGCATTTAGTGTGTGTTTAAAAACTATGTTGAGGCATATAATTGCTTGAAATTGAACATCATTTGCAAGGAAGAATTAGGAGGCGTTTGTCTTTGCTGGACCCCGTTAACTTGTGATTTGCACTGACATTGGATAGATTATTACAGATTTTGTCCTTCACGTTTGCTCATTCATTTGATATATAATTCCTCTAATGTGTATCATGACTGCTTCTCTTATGTTTGTTTAGCAACCACAATTTGTGTACAGTCTTAGAGGGAGATAGTATTCCTTGTAGTGTGTAAACCAGTGGTACTTCTCTGGAGGAAAGATGGTTTATAGTTGAATGTATGGTAACAGTGAGATTATGAATATAATGGATTGAAAAATATCCTGGAAGCCATTTATTGCTTGAAGGCACTGGTTCAGGGAGAATTCTTCATTACAATCCTAAAAATTTTTATTAATAGTGTGCTTAAATATCTTGAAATTGACACTTTGCAGTTGCAAAAGAATTAAACACTTTATTTCTGAATAATCTTGTAAATATTAGCTGATTTTTTTTATTCATCTCGAGAGAATACTTACAGTTTGTTTACAGTTTTACATTTCCTGTTGATATAAAACTACTGACATAACATAGCATGAAACTGGTTACGGAAGAGGTTTTTGTGACAATAGTCTTCCAATTAAATTTATGTAATTTGTAAAATATCTGATAAAGAAATTCAAACAAGGAAATCACAAAAAATTAAGGAAGGGGTACTTTTATGGTCTTAAACATGTAAATCGCTTCAGTATTTAAGTTAACAGGAAAACTAATACCCTGAGGAATTCTGTAATTTTTTATTTATTTATGTTTTAAAAGGAGGAGGCAGAGAAGTTAATATGTTTGGTGTGGTGTGGGAGGACTTTTGATGTTTAGGTAGGTGGTTTTATTTCTGTTTAAAGTCAGTCAGTCCATAATAGAACGTGTAGTACTCTGTAACACTCAACAGCCTCTTATGAAAGTCTGTTTCATTTATTAAAGTCATCTGCTTGGGACATGGACATCTTAGTGTGGATGTTAAAGGATTTGTCTTTTTAATGCAAAACCTTCTCTCTCCTGTCCTTCTTTAGTATGTCCCTCCAAGAAACCTTCATGGTTTACTAGGGTCCTTTCAGCAATACTCAATAAAGACAATTAACCTTTGCATTCACAGTCAAAGCATTCATCCTTTAAACCATTCTTCATGGAAGGTCAAGCTGAAATGGTTTTAAAGCAATATACATGCAAATTTCTTTTCTCTGCATTCCTATTGTGGGATTTCCTCTCCATCTCTCAGTATGTATAAAGACTACACATAGTTCAGGAAACTGGAGAGAATTCTATGCATAAGATATAGTTGTTCAGCAGACAGAAAAAAGGTCAAGACAATGGCAGTGCTCTCACTGTACGCTTTAGAAATCATTCCTGTACTCTCACTGCAGACAATCCGTATAATCTGTGACTGAGCTTTTTGACATTGTACATTACAACTTTGCTACGCTCAACACTCTTTAAAAGGAAAATACATCAAAATCTAAATGCTTGGTTAAAGCGAAAAAACTTCTTTGTCTTCCTGTTTTTCATGGTTTTGGGAAAAATACTGCCTTTTCCTCTGCCACTGTATTTTGCACTTAAAAAAATAGATGAAAGAGATTTACATAAAGATTAACAACACATTTCTTTCTTCCGGAACTGGAAGAGGTTACCGTGTGATGCTACTGTAAGTTGGGTTGTTTCTATAGGTCTCAGTGTAAGATTTGAAGACAATATGTAACTCATGCTAGAGTCTTTCAAAGATAAATCTGTAATGTGAAGACACATTTGTGAGTCCC